CGAGCCAGGCCAGGCTGGGCCTGGCGGGCCACGGTCTCCGTCGTGCCGTGCCACCCAAAATCGCAGGCCAGCCCGACACGGCCTGCGTGCTGCCTTGCTGGGCTGGCCTGCTGCTGGCGTGTTGGGCTGCTGCCTTTGCTTTGGTTCTTTTTTTTAAAATTTTTTTTAATAGTTTATAACTTATAATCTTATATTATTATTTTTCTAAAATAAATTAAGTTTAATATTTATGTTTTATTATTTTTTTATTTAATATTTATATTTATATATTTAGTTTATACTACTACTTTATAGTTTAATGTTTATAATTTATTATATTTATTTTTGTATTATTAATTATTATAATTTTTTTTTTTTGTTATATTAATTTACAAATTATAACTTAACGGGAAAAAAAGGGCAAATTGGACCTTGGATGTGAATAATGCATACTTCATATTATTATTACTTAAAAAATTGTACAATGATAATAAGAATGATAAAAGTCGTACAAGGATATTAAACAAAAATTGGATAATGATAAAAAAATCGTAAAATGATAATATTCATAATGATAATAATCGTACAATATACAAAAATTGTCTATTCTTCATCTATTCTTCTTCTTCTTCTTCTTCTTCTTCTTCTTCTTCTTCTTCTTCTTCTTCTTCGGCTTCAAGGTCATTGGCTAGTTGAATATATTGGGAACTAGCCGATCCCGAATGGTCGGAAGCGGAGGTTTCTTCTTCGTTGTCGTCGTAAGAACGGTCTTGTGAACGATTTTCAACATCCAACCAATCTTTGAAACACACGCACATTTCAAGTGTTTTGGGTTTTAAACTTGTTCTTCTATCGTCTAAAACCCTCCTAGATGCGCTGAAAGTTTGTTCGGAGGCAACGGAGGAGTCTTGGATACGAAGAATGTCTCGTGCCATTGCCGCCAAAGTTGGATGCTTCGTGCTTTGTTGTTTCCACCACGCAAGGAGGTCGAGGCTGTTTATCTCATCGTCGTCCATGCCCTTGGTGAAGTCGTAATTCAAGTACATTTGCAATTCCGAGACATCGTTTTGCGTTCTCCTTATTTATGAATCACCTGAAAACCTTGAAATCAAGTTAGTAGCTTGTGAAAATAAATATTTAGCCTTCTTACTTACGTTTTTGGATGGTTGGGAAGGGCCTGAGCGAGGAACGGTGCCATATTTGATTTCATAGACTATATAAAGAAAAAAACCAATCCTTCACATTACTCTTATAGGTTTCTACATTATCGTCAAAAAGCATGCATTGAAAATAAATGTCAACTAACATAAATGTATTTTCATACTTTTGCCTAGGATCTAATATGGAAGCAAAAATATAAATCAAAGGAATTTCACTATAATATTTACGCCACTTTGTTTCCATTGCTGGAAGATATTGATCATAATCACTTTGGTTGCGATGATCAGCGAAAAGTTGGGCGAGTAAACATGCATTTGAAAGAAAGTTTTGAGCACAAGGATTATAAACAGAAGAAAAACAAAACGTCATGTTATATAATAACTGTAAAAATTGCATATATCTTTCACATTTATCCCAATCATCCTCATATATAGCATTGTTTGGAAATTTTTGGTTGTAAAAAATTGTCAACGGATTTTTGTACTCAATTGGCTTGGTTAACATGTCATAGGTGGAATTCCACCTAGTTGGGCAATCGGTTTTGATTTTTATTGCTCTTATCTTTTGTTGCTTTAGAAAACTCTTCCATTCTTGGTATCTCATGTTTGAGCTATTAATAGACATAATAGCATCTCTAAATTTGTTATAGTATGGACCAACTGCTCTAATTCCATCCTGTACACATAAGTTAAGAACATGGCAAACACATCTAGTATGAAGTGCGTCACCATCTAATATTACATCGGTCAAGTTTTGTTTGACATAATTAGCAGTATATGTCATTGAGGTTTCATTGTCAAATGTCATAGACATGATTTTTTCTCGAAGGTTGTATTCATTTATTGCTTCCATTAAATGGTGAGCAATGTTAATACCGGTGTGGGGGTATTCCAGCATTTTGAAATGGATTATTCGTTTTTGTAACAACCATTGATCATCTACCCAATGGCAAGTCACACATAAATAGTGATATTTATAACCACTATCCTAAGAATCGGCAGTCAAAGGCACTCTACAATTAAGTTTACTCAATTCGTCTTGTAACCGCATTTTGTACTCTAGGAAGTTTTTCATGGCGGCGGAACGAACGGTTTTCCTAGAGATTCTTTTATGTTAGGATTATAATGCATTGTTAATGTAAGTGTTAAATGGGTCACTTTCGGAGAAAAGAAAAGGTTGTTCGGCGTGTACTATCATTTTCCCTAGTTCATCCCTATCCCTCTCATAGTTGTAGGTAAAGCCGTGTGGATGGAATTGGGAAATTTTTGGCTGGGTTGAATCACTAGCTGGTTTTGCACAATTTCTCATGTGTCTACTTAAGTGTCCCGTCCCGGACTTGGATTCTGCCGAGTATATATTACCACATGTTTTACATTTTGCTCTTGTTTGGGCTTTATTTAGCACAAAATAATGCCATACATCACTTTTGCGGCTTTTGATATTTACCATGTCACTTTCGGTTAACCATTGTTCTTGTGTGTTTGGGAATTGGGTGTTTGTAGATTCGGGGATTTGTTGGTTAGTAGTAGAACCGGAGGCATTTAGGGTATCTTGTTGGCTACCTTGGCTAGAATAAAAATTTTGTGGGTCACAGAAATTAGGTGGGAATTGGCTGAATTGTGGAATTTGGTTTTGTGGAAATTCGGGCATATTCATATTATTCATGTTATAGGGTTGAAAACTGGAAGTACCATCGTGCCTAAATTGTTCAAAGCCTAAGGGGACGTTACCGGGGTCATTGGTCAGACTTGAAATTGGGGGATAATTGGATTAAGTGATTCCCTAGAACTATTACCACGGACAAATCGGGCTTTCCTAGAGGATGATGGGTTGTTCATGTTTGGTGATGCCATAATTAACAATGACAACAATTTTAACAATAACAATAATAATAATTAATAACAACAATTATAACAATAACAATAATAATAAATAATAACGATAATTATAACAATAACAATAATAATAATAATTAATAACAATAAGTATAACAATAATAATAAGTAATAACAATAATATTAACAACAATAATAAAGATTAGTTAGATCTTACAACCGTGCTTCAACGCTTTTCACTAATTACGATTATGAACTTTTAATTTTTTTTCGATATTAATAAATAATAATTAGAGAATATAAGAGAATAAGAGATTAAGAGAAGAGATGAGTTGAATTGTGATTTGGAAGTGAAGTGAAATTTGGTATTTATAGGCAAATTGGGGAAAAGCTAGAGTCGTTAATGGCCATTAGAAAGAAGGGAAGAGCAACGGCAGCAAAGCAACAACGGCTCTAATTATAGCCGTTATTGGCGTGCCAGGCCGGGCCGGCATGTGGGCCAAGAGGCGAGCTCGTGCCGTGCCGTGCCGGAAAATGGCAATTTCTGTCCGTAGCAGCCACGGACGCCAGGGGACGACCGTGCCAGGCCGGGCCAGCTGCCGTGCCGGGCCGCTCGCAGGCCAACCCGGCCCGTGCCCAGCTTTACTGACTGAGTGGCTGCCAGTTTAGCAGCAGATCTCTGAGTGCTTACACAGTTTTTCTTGGCACAAACTTAGTGTCATGGAAGACTAAAAAGCAAAGATCAGTGAATCATTCTTCTGCTGAAGCAAAGTACAGAAGTATGTCTGTTACTGCATGTGAACTTGTTTGGCTGCATGGATTACTTGAAGATTTGCAAATACAAGTCTAGTTGTAACTAACTGTTTTCATTTATATTCTCTAATTAGTTGTAACTATTTTCATTATTTTCATTTATGTTGTCAGCTAGTTAGTTGTAACTAACTTTTGTATAAATAGCGTAGCCTTCACTCTTCACTTATTCTCATTTGTAACAAACATTTCTAATACTTCAATATAGATTTTCTCTCTCTTTTCTTTCATTCTCCTGATATTCTATAATACCTAATTGTAATAATTTAAACTTAGTGCCGAAAGCCTAAGAGCATGGCGTTACACTAGCAACAATCTATGCGAAAAGAAAGGCATGCAATTGGATATAGGACTTTTTAGGAGGGCATAATGTTTTGTTATTGAGATAACTGTAAAATTAAATTTAGGTACTATTTGCATTCCATTAAGATTGCTCCATGTTCATTATTTCAACTTTTTTTTAAGAGTTAGTTCATTTGCAAATGAAGTGTGTTTTTTTAAAAGAGAATGTGAGTTATTGAACGGAGAATAAATATAATAAAGAAAATAAGACAAATTCGATGAGGCGATTAAAATAAGTATACATAGCAAGTGGGATGGAGTGAGTACATGGTGATCATAAGCTAACAAACTCATTACACAACCCAAACTTCCATATATCTTTATAAACTACATACAATGATACAAAATAGATAATCTAGATTTGCAACATACAACTATCGGGTGTAACTTATATTTTCGCATACGAATCATGTTTGAGATCCAATCCTATACTTTCCTCCAACGACTTAAATTTTGAGTAAATGTCACCTGTAACATGATCGGTTTGTTTGTAATTAGATGTTTTGATTAGAGTCGGGTTTGGTTTAATATGGTCTTAATCTTATTAGATTAGATTGAATATATATTTTTGGCTGACACTAAATTATCCAAGAAGGTATCAATTAAAACCCAATTATTTATTACATTACATTAAAATATAATAGATAAAGAATAAAAAGAAAAGGAGCATAAAAAATGGGAGGAGGATATGAGTCGAAGACCCCTTTTACCAATTGAAAAATTAATCAAAATATTCGTTTTGGATGGTTCACTTGTAAAAACGCTAAATTAAGAGGATCCGCTAAATGTGCATGTATTCCATTGGATCCACACATTGCATAAATATCTCCTAAAGTTAAAAAGATTAAAGCAATTGTTCAACTTCATCTATAAATAGCAAGCCATATTACATCAAATAAAATCACAACAAACTCATATCTATAGATATCTTATAAAGCTCAAAACCACTTAAGAGTCTTCTTCAAATTCATCAACTTATCAACATGTCTGGCAAATGTGGAAACTGCAACTGTGCTGACAGCACCCAGTGTGTGTAAGTGCATTTTATTTAGCTAATTATTCATGCTTAATTATGCCTAATTAAACTTTGTACATATCTAATTAGTACATGTCAATGATTTGTTACAAACTAAACATGTGTTAGAAATTGAGATAATCAAAGGGGTTAAGTGAATGGCAGCTACAAAATTATGTACGTGAGATATTCATTATTAAATTAGGGTGTTGAACATGATTTTTGATCAATAAAAATAAACAAAGAATAAAATAATAATTTAGTTAAAAACTGAACCTAAATTTATTTATCTTGAAATAGACAATTTGTTTTATATTGGTTGTTAAAATTATTGACCAATTTTGCACTTGCTCTTGCAGGAACAAGGGAAATCAATATGGAATTGACACCGTGGCTGATGATGTCATGTAAGTTCCTAAAATGTCACCATTATTTCTTCTTATTGGGATCACTATATACGAGTACTATATAGTCGTAGACGTAAACATAACACGTACTACTCCGACCACCTCTAAAAGTTTGGCCTAGTAGAATAGTGATTATCTTAAGAAAATAGTAAAAACGCATATGCTAGTTGAACTATTAGAGACGGTGGGAGTACTTATTAGTAATAATGCTTAATTAACATCTAATCTATTATTGATGGTGTTTAAATTGCTTCTTCTTTGACTTCAATCATGCAGCTTCTACGATGGTGTGGTGATGGAAGGCGGTAACTGCGACAGCTGCAAGTGCGGCGCCAGCTGCGCCTGCACCAGCTGCTCTTGCTGCTCTCACTAAGCAAAACAACCTCATTAGATGGAAGGCCTTATCATATTATCTAATTTCTATTTAATATAAGCTTCTAATCTACTGAATTATGCACCTTATACATTATGTATAAGAAGACTTATTTATAATTGGAATAATTTGTTACTTTGTATGCTTTGTAATATGGCCCTGTGCCTAATTATATATGCTATCAATATTATTGCATCGAATTTATTAGCTATTTATTGATCAGTCTCCTTTTGTTTATATTTTAAGATTATGTTGTGTGCAACCCCACAAAAAAAAAAAAAAAAGAAAAAAAAACTCCCAATTAAATTAAAACTAGGCAATAATGGAGTATTCAACGACAAGTGCTTGGTTTGGGCACATAATTTACCCCCGAAAATATAATTACGTCATTTTAACTAGTCTTTTTTTATCTACGTCCAAAAATAAAAAGATATGAAGTATTTGATAACTTAATCTTGAGGGAGCCCAAGTAAATCTCTGATATTAACATTTCAGTTTATCTCATCTTACAGCTTTATGCATTAATTTTTGTGTCACTTTATTATTTAACTTTTATTATTTAAAAAATAAAAGAAAAACATTATATTATGAGAGGAGATATATTTACAGATTTATCTCAGAGATTAAATTGGATTTTCCCCTTAATCCCTCCTAATTGATCTTCAATAGTTGCCTACAATGATAGTGTATGTTGCCTATCTTTAAAATAAGAGAATCTTCACTATTGTCATTCAAAAAAAAAAAATAAAAAAAAAAAAATTATACTTCGTATTATTTTGTAAAATTAACTTGAAGAATTAAAATTTAACAATGCTATGTACTGTATCTAATATCTAATTGAAGCCCTAGATCAGTACAAATAATAATGAAATTCTTGTTAACATTTCCCTCCCATTTTTCTTATACTTCCCTCCCATTCTTCTTTTATTTCCTTAACATGTTGCCATGTTGGTTAAGACATACATTTTTTGTTACAGCAGAATAACACAAAGCATAAAACAGTAATTGAAAAAGCTATTAAGCAATATGGTTGTTGACTTGTTGTACTTTATAAGGAAGTATTTATTAATAAGCTTAAAATCCATGATCGTATTTCGTGTACATACATCATTGTCCGTTATGACTACTTTATTAAACAAATCAGAAAACTTATTTAAAATGTGCAACATCATGTTCAAAAAAGAGTTCGCAGTTTGATTAGTTTGCTAAACTACTATATCTACTAAGCTTGGTAATTGAATGCATATGGAAACTTCATTGCTATGTTCTTAGATAAGTTAGCTATGATATATCCTTTGTAAAAATGAAGATTAACTTTTTTTTTTTTTTTTGAGTGAGTTCTCTCACTTCTCTGTCTGGTAAAGAGGGTAATGGGCGTAATACATTTGATTAGAGCACTTTAATTGGAAAAGAAAAAAAAGAAAAAAAAAATTATAAAAAAAAAAAAGATACAGTGTACGCCAAAAATAATAAAGTTAAAAGCCAGATGCCTAATATTACTAAGATAGATTTATACGGTGTATTTTTTAATTAGTTTAGGAATGCGAGGCCTCATTAAAAAAAATAAAAAAATAAACTTAGTTGACTTTTGACACTTATTTTAATTTATTAAACTACCAAAAAATCAAGTTTGGAATAAAGTTTTTTAACATACTTAGCTACAAAGCTAGCTTCATTACTTTATGAGAGTGTTCAGTAGACGCGGGGTTATTTGCTTATTGATTTTTAAAATTTAGCCCCCGATTATTTTTCAAAAAAAATAAAATAAAAAAATAACTCTGGGTGTACCATGGTACACTCTGGTGTATATAACAAATTATATTATTTTATAGCCAAAATGAAAAAGTTGCTTGGTGAAAATTTTCTCATGACCGCCTTTTGGTTGTTTTGCCATAGAGTTTTCACTTATGAACTAAAAGTACTAATAAATAAAAATCATCGATTTTAGTTTATTTCTTTGTGAACTGTAATTGGTGATATAAAAACTGATGACAGCCAATACTAAACTAAACTAGCTAAGTCAAATTAAACAGACTAGATGAACCACCCAATGAATCGTGAAATATTTTATACATACCCGGGTATATTGTGTACCCAATTAACTCTAAATTAGTTTTTGCTCGTCATTTGATGATTAAATGAAAAACAATCATCAAAATGAGAACAAAATACTCATGGGAGAAACGTACACCCGGGTATATGTAACAATCTCTCAATAAACCGACAATCAAACAATCCATTACGCAACAAGTACAAGACATCAACATCTAGACTCACTTTGATAACAAGTTGGTTGAGCCACAATTGCTAAAGCTTAGATTCTTATGAAGAAGCATACATCCAAATGGCTTTAATATGACATAGACTTGATAGGAAGAATATTATAGATTGAGCACTTGATAAAATAGATGTGACATGTGTACTACTTTGGTCTTTATTTGTTTTTGCATGGATAAAATAGGTTGCACCATAATAATAAGACCATAAAAGTGTAGACTAGACCAAACTTTCCACATCAAAGATTCTCGGTCATGGCTCATGGCTACAAGCAATTGTATTGCTAGCCACCCAAAATTAATTAAAGGGACTTTTTGTTATCGCTTTTCAATCTTAAATTGTATCCTTTCATGAATTTAAAATAAGAAAAAAAGCAAATTATTCTGATTCTATTGTCCATTTTTAATTTTCCTTTTACAGCAATTTGATCGCTCATAGATGCAATGGGCGCACGGCTTGAGCATTTGTTGATTAAGGTTACGTACAAGTTTTTTAGTTTTTATTTATGAGGTGTTAGCTCTCGAACATACATTAGTACGGGTAGTGATGAATTGATGTTTAGCCAATGGCTCATGATATGACGCGTAATTGGCTGTTTCTTACGGGCTTTGATCAATTCTTATAGGATCCTTGGTTTAAAAAAAAAGAAGCAATGGAGGGTAATTGGCGATTGCATACATAATCAAGAGTTGTTCCCAAGTCCAAGTTGGAACTTTGGAAGGACAATAAAAGAGAAATACCACTATTGATTCTTAAAACTGCTTCAATAGCAACAAAATAGACAATTTAAAAATGCAACTCCATTTGCAAGGAAGAAATTATGCACAAAAAATTAGTATATGTGCCAAATAAATTATTATAGGAATGTACTCGTTTTTTCTTCAATAGACAAATTATAGGTGGATTTCAACAAAAATTGAAAACAGAGCGGTAATTTTGGTAAATTATGACATAGGCAAATCGTGCATACCCCCCCCCCCCCAAAATAACAAATTAACATTATTAAGGTTCGTCGATTATTGGAGATTGATTTATCACTACTCGACAAGGTTTAGTTCGTCTCAAGCTCCAAGTGTAAGCTGTAGAACTCACAAAAGAGATGATAAGAAAACGATTGATCGATCCCATAAAAGAAAAGATAACATAAGACTCGACAGAAGAATAGAATGCCAAAACCCCCCACACTGGGAGGGCACCACCATCTTCTTAAATCCATCAATTCATCAGATTCCCTTTGAATGGTGCCTCTCTTGCGTGTCGGGTTGCTCCTCTTAGAGCAACCCCTTGTATCGACCCTAATCCTAAGCTAGCTCTTCCCCTATAAATACCAACCTACGTTGCACAAATTCAAATTATAAGCAACTCACAGACATACGCCGCTGAATCCCAAAACTTGTAGTCTTTCACTCTCCATCAACAATGGCAGACAAGTGCGGAAACTGCGACTGTGCTGACAGGAGCCAGTGTGTGTAAGTTCTGTTTTATGGAGTTCATAAACTTAGTTCTGTTTTACTTAGTTTTCTGAAAGCATAATGAAATCCCTATCAGATTAAGATTGACAACGATTTCACTGTCCTTGCAGGAAGAAGGGAAACCAATATGGTTTTGTGGTCACCGAGACTGAGTAAGTTTAATGGCTTAATTCGGTTTTTTCCATGTACAACCCCCCCCCCCATCGATTAACAAACAATATGGTCATCACATTGCAGGTACTCGGAGTTCATGATGACAGAGGGTCCCGAGCATGGTTGCAAGTGCGGCAGCAACTGCCGATGCATTGACTGCAAGTGCGGTCCTCACTGAGCACCTATTACTTACTTATAGTAGCTCATATGATCTTAGGATATATATAAGCTATTTATAGATGATATAGTACTTCAATAAGAGACATATTTCTGCACAGAGATATGTTTAACTTTGTTTCGACACCTGAGGATCACGTTTGTGTCCTGTACTCATACGAGCTTCTAATATCATTATAGTATATTTTGCTGTTTATAATTTTTATTATACACAACTATTTTCAGCTTTTTTTTTCTCTCTTATTCAGCTAAACACAGAAGGAAATTATACACTTAACATAATGCCAAACAATAGTTGTGTATTAGAAGAATTCAGAGTTTGGGTATATCAAAACACAAACAGCTTTTTCTCCGGGTCTGGTAGAAAGATCCCAAATCACTTCTTCGTCAAAACCTAAACAGCAATACACTTAACATGATGCCAAACACAAACAGCGTTTTCTCTCTTATTCAACTAAACACAAACTCTGTGTCATAACTGTAGATGAGTATATCAAAACCTAAAATTATGAAGAGTTAAGATTTACTCAATGTTACATGACATAATTTATTTGCAGCTTAGCATTAAAAGACTGGAAATTTTGAGATGCTCCCAAGGCTCCAAAAGAATTGGGAGAGATGGTCACATAATGAATTTAACAATGGATCTGTGACAGTTGTAGATGGTCATGTAGTCTTTTCTTTCCTCTTTGCTCTGTATTTTGTCAGTAACATCTTCCTGAATATGGTAAGAAGCCACCCACAAATATAAAGAACAATTAAAGGAGCGCAAAAAAAAGATCAAAATCCAGGGGAAAGAACCTCCTAGGACTCATATTACTCACACTCGGGTACTCAAATCTGACATGAACACGCATCTAAGTGTCTGACTTGGCTACCACAATTCTTGCCCAAAATGAACTGCCCCATGACTAGGGACAAAGAGAGAAAGACAGATAATATAAGAAAACAAAACCCTCATCATTGCACATTGTACAATTTAATTTAGGAAACTCAACCAAAGATTATTTGATTATGTTTAGTTTGTAGGCAAGCTACCATGAAGACCTCAAGTATTACTTTCCTTTCCATGCCTTATTAAACTGATGCAGCAAACACAACCTTTCCAACTCTTATATACTGGCTAATAGTCTGTTTTATAAGCCATCTAATCTATTTCACAAAGTTCCATCTACTAGCAAATTAGTGATGCTCCACAAAAATAACCAAGAACTTTCACCTAACAATATAATCTGAGTTACATTTGACGAAAAAATGATTTACAATATCAAACAGCACATATATGGTGGTCCAACAAATGAAATCTTATCCGGGTCTGGTAGAAAGATCCCAAATGACTTCTTCGTCCTAACCCAAATAAAGTGTTCATGGAAGAATTCACAAGCTTTCAGATCTTGGTATTTTTCCTTGACATAACCAAGACTGCAACAAAGCTTTTCCTTAATTTTGTTTCTGGCCTTAAGTAAGCTTCTTATCAGGGAAGAACATAAAAGGGAGAGTTTACATAACAGCCAATGTGGCTATGTAGTTTACCTCCCATTCTGCATACTACTTCTGTATAAGCTTTTATTCTTGATAATCTGACTTCACTCATCTTAGGCAGCTAAGCTACTTAAGATGCAAACAAAACATGATCTAACAGCAATACACCCTAGCTAGTAGCCATAGTTAAGAAAATCCAAAGCAATGATTATCCACTATCCAAGCTAGTAGCTATATTTAAGAAAATCCAAAGCAATGATTATCCACTAAAAAGAAATGAGAACATAATTACTGCATAACTATTTCTAGACCTCATGGCAATTGTCAAATGTCAAACAGAAAATTTAGACCATATAGTTTAAATCATGGATCATAATAAGGAAGAGCAACACGTAATGTAGCATACTACATCTAGAATCCATACCATCAACTTCTGAAAATCCATAACAAAGATGGCAAGAGTCTACAGGTCTGACATCTTGCTTCCAGACCAACATGTTCATCTAAAACTGTTCAGATACCTATTATTCACATAATTGTGATCTCAGGAAATGAATCAACCAAAAAAGAACTATCAATCTTGCAAAATCTCACAAGCCAAAAATTACACTCATATTGATGCCAAATGATTAAATGCCTCAAACTTCCTCTGTGTCCACTGACTGAAAAATAGTTTGTTTGCAACTTAATATGGATGCTTGGTCTCTCATATTTAAGGTGCCACCAAATATGATTGGGTGAGAAGGCCCAATTGATGTGGCCAAAAAAATTAATATAACAATACATTTTCAACTAAGCTGCTGTTCAGCTTCTAACTTCTATGGTTATATAAGATGGTTCCTCATCAAGCAACCAACTTCTGGAAACCAACAAAACTTCAATTTAAGTCTCTAACCATAACTAGTCCTCAAATCTATTGATTGTTCTCTCTAATAGCTCATGTCATTATCAATTTGCTCAATGAATTGAGTCACTAATAAACTGTTATAAACTCTATTCTTGAGAGGACTTGGCTCTTGAAAAAAGAGCTTTTTTGCATAAGCTAGCAACTCCCCAAATTCCTTACAGTGAACCATATTAACACTTCTACAGTTCTACTTGGCACATTATACAACATCATATAAACAGCACATACATTTGACAACAGTATCCTGTGACCGTAAGAAGCGCCCTTTCTGGAAGGACTTTGGTAAGTGGTAACCAATTAATCCCTTTGACAGCTCGGCTACATCAAACGCAAACAAAACATACTTTTATTGACAGCAATAACCCTAGCCTGTAATCCTAGTTAGATAAATCATGGACAATAAAATCACACGATAAATTACGATAGCACAATAACTGCACAAGTTGACGTATACCTCACAGCAAAGTCAGCAATTATCAGATAGAAGAGTCAGACCATCCAGCTAAATTTATCAACAAGAATGCAAATTGTAGCATACAATATCATGACATGTCTATATGATCAATTTCAATAATTCTATCACAAAAAAAGATATCTAACTGTAAGACAACATACACATCTCAAATAGTTTTGATACCTTTTATTCACATAAATGTGATCAACAAGTGTATAACCCGAAAAAGAACTACCTATTTCGCAAAATTTCATGAACTCGAAACATTCAATTCCGATTCTTCATCAAACATTAAATCCCTCAGCACGAAGGCATTGCTTATGCGCCTCGATCCACTTAGTACACGCATCTTCACCATACTGTACTATACATTCATCTCTCAACTTCTTAGTTTCAGGGCAAGCACAACATATCTTCTTTTTCGGCTTTTGATCCTGCTCGGAAGCTTTCGAAACCGTTTCCGGGTTCTTTTGTTCTACTGGCACACCATTACTAGAGGATGCAACTCCTCCCATGATTAAAACCCTGAACAGAAAAACACATACAAAACATTCAATCCACATTTCTCACAAATTTGTATAACAATTCTGGCATTCCCCCTAAGATTCTGAAAATTCCCAACTGAAATAAAAAATAAACAAGAAATGGGTACAATTTAAATTCCTCTAATAATCTATAAATCAAAATAGCTAAACTTAAATTACTTTAATCTAATGTAACTCTAGCAATACAACAATAGAGTAAAAATTAAAATAAGGGTTTAACCAATGATTTTGATTCAGTAACATAAATCATAAACATGACCATATTTATAAAATAATTTGGATTTGGATTTATTATTGAAAAACACCCATTTTTCTTTCTTTCTTTTTTTTTGAAGAAACACCCATTTTTCTTCTTATTCAAGAAACACCCAGTTGTTGCAGCAATTAAATTGGATAAATTAACTGGATTTTATTGTTCGAATTTCAAAATCTTAAAAAAACACGGTGGATTAAGAATTGAAGAAGATGATACCTTAGAATTTAGCAGAAGAATGAGGATGAAGTTGAATAGCAGAATAGTGGAAGAACGCAAAGAAAAGGTTGAATTGTTGAAAGGAGAAAGAAAATTCAGAAACGACGTGTTTTATTTTCGGGCGTTTGTACAAACTGTACTGGTGTACTCCGTATTCCGTATGTACTACTGCTTTTTTTTTGTTTTGGTTAGTGGGTAATTAGGTAATAAGGTTTGACCCAATAATTCAATTTGTACATAAAGCCTAATTATTGATTTCACCCAAAAAATAAAAAGAAAAAAAAAAGCCCAATTATTGAACAATTCATGATATTCATTCAGTCCAACCCATATAGACATATGATGCATCTAGACTCATTAACTACTCAATACCCGGGACACGTAAATTTGAAGTTAGTCAAAGTTAGTTGGTCCCTTGTTTTGAAATTTGAACATTTTTTTTTTTTTCTGGGACAGGGTAATTGAACATATTTTGAAAGGAACGAATATTGAAACTGGAAATGAATATTTGAAAACTGAAATGAACATTTATTAAGGCCCTTTTTGGTTCAATTTTAGTAAAGGAAAGAAAGAGAAAAGAAAGGAAAGGAAAAGAAGGGAAGGGAGAGTGATTATTTTCCTGTGTTTGGTAAATGTAAGGAAATGAAGGGAAGAGAATGGAAACATATTTTATTGTTCTCTTTCTTCTCAAATTCCTCTAATTTTGGGAGGAAAGAAAAATGAAAATTTTGTAAAGGCTCTTTCCTTCCACTTCCTTTCCTTTCCTACCAAATCCCATATCATTTTTCATACCAAACATAGGAAAATAATAAAACCCACTTCCTTTCTTTTCTTTTCCAGCCAAATCTCATCAACCAAACAAAGCCTAAATAACAATGAACATTTTTTTTATATGGAAATGGAACTCTAAGTCAGAAAAATAAATATTTAAAAATTGAAATTAGCATTGCAATATATAAAAATGAACATTTTTAATACAAGGATAAAAAAAAAAAAAAGACACTTTGAACCAAAAAAACAATTGTACTTCAAATATTATATAATTGAACCTTTCAGTTGTATATAAAAATGAACATCTAAAGTTGTTGCTTATTCATCAACATTTCTTTGAGCTTCAAGTATTACTTCTTCAACAATTTATTTATTTATTTATTTATTGTTGTCGAGTTGCTTCAATGATTGTCGTTGCTTCCTTGGTAGTCTTTTGTTCAACAACTTACTTTTTTAGCTTCTAAAATGAAAATGAACATTCTTTAATGAACAAATGATTTTCTCAAGACATTTTATGAATGAACAATCAATTTTTAACATATATTCAATATTTTTAACAAAAATGAACATCATTATGTTAAAAATGAACAAAAATACAAATCCTAATACAATTACTAATATTGATGTTTTCAAAAAAAGGTAAATTGATCATTCTATAAAATGAAAATGAACATTATCTAACATGAAAATGAACAAATGGTCTTATCAAGACTTTTATGACAATGAAGAATCAATTTTGTACATATAAACTCATTATGGAAAAAAAATGAACATCATTCTTTTACAAAATGAACAAAAATACAAATTCAATGTCAAGATTCTGAACATTTAACCAACAACAATTAAAAATGTTGTTGATTTTAAAAAAGTAAAATATGCATCCTCCAAAATGATAATGAACATCCTCTAATATGAAAATAAACAAATTGTAACTTGGTGGATCTTTTGATCTCATTTAAGAGATTTGGATCTATTATAACTTTTTTTTTCCTAGCTATTTTCAAGGTCATTGGTTCATTATTATCATCATCATCATCATATCTATTTTTTAATGATTATAATAATTACTCTTATAAGTGTAATATTAAGATGAACATTTACTTTTCATAGAATGAACATTTAGTCTGTAAAATTGTAGCAACATTTAATTTTTCCAGAATTAACATTTATTTTTATTTTTTTTTACATCAAACAAAATAACTAACTGCGGTATAATTTCATCATTTTTTCGTTAATTTTGGCGTTTATGTTAAGATTCTTGCTCTAAACAAAATGTAGTGCGTAATTGCAATTAATTTAACCAAAATTGAATTGAAAATGTTCAAAAATGCAAAAAATCAACCAAAATTGCAATTAAATTTGACAAAACTGACACATGTATAATCTACTAAAATTTCTACTAGAAATCTTGTTTGTAATCGAACAAATTTGTGTAAATTGTAAAATTACCTTTTCTTTTGTGGTCGTTTTTCAGATTGTTTGAGTGCACCTTGAATTTCTTGTTGAATATTTATATTTATACAGTTTTGATAGCAATTTTTAAAGATTTCTAAGCTTTTGAAGGTTTGATAATGGCAACTTTGAGAAGATATAGAGAGATAAAGTAAGTGGTTAGAGAGAAAATGTGTTTTGCGTATTTTGAAAATAAGAAAATGAAGTTTTTTTTCTTGTAAAATCAGTATTTATATTGATGTGACACCTTGTCTCATGAATTATATAAACAATAAAACGCTTCGTTTAACAAGAGGACCAAACTTTACTAGCTAAGTCTCGAGACAAGCTATTAATAATTGTCCGAGACAAGTACGACTTTTGATATTCATATGAATCATATCCATTTATTAGTCATTACTAATTATTTCCTCCATTCCCATTTAATTGACACATTGAAATGGGCACAGAGTTTAACCAGGTACTCATAGGAGAGAGTATCTACATTTAGAGTGATACGAGTAAGTTCAAAGAGACCGGATTTTAGTAATGACATTAGTGTTTTAGGTTGAACCAAAGACCAATCCTACGTGGACAGTACTTTGAGAATTTATTTTTGTTTCAATAGTATTGAGGGAAATCGTTGGCTTTATAGCCTTTATTCATGCACATTGAATTTTTTTATATTGTGTCCACTCAATAAGATTCATTCTTATTATAGTAAAATATTAGTATTGAAAATTAAAATTACGGAGTATGTTTCTGCTTGCTATAAGCCTACAAGAGCAAAATACAGCTCTCAGTTTCAATACAATCACAGCCCCCATTAGCCATCCTATATCAAACAGACATACAGAAATACCAAAATACGCGGTTCGAAAAGCATCCCAAACTTATATTGAACATCCATGAGATAACAGGCATAATCAGTAGAAGAGGGTGTTCCACATTCGCTGTGTCACCCATGAATAGCCAATGGCCTGAAGCCCCGAACTACTGTAAGATAAAAATGGCACATATGCCACTTGTGGACACGTCTAATGTACTTGCAAACCAAATTGCAGGGTGCAAACCTTGATTTGAACACCGTAAGACAATCTGAAGCATGCAGATAAGTAAACTATCTGGACAAAGCACTGAACAAATCCGATTTTTCAAAGGAGTACTAGCACCGCAAACTGGTAATTTACCTCACCCACATTAGTATGTATCACATTGTAACATTGAAGATTATTGAGCTTTAATAGTAGTCATTCAAAGAAACATACTTCAGCATCAGAAAAACTTCTCGTTTTAGTCTCATATACTGCCTATAATGAGCTCCTCTTACTTCCTAAAAGAGCAAGATTTCAACCGAGGAATCAAATTATACTGGTAAAAAGGCATCGAAGATTCTATAATAACAACCATTAATTGCAGAACCAACAGAAGAGTGCAGATGGTCATGCGTATAAGATCATATATCAACCAAACAATACTTACAATGATAAGTCACATTAATTTACGAAATTTACATAATTACATTGTGTGCTGTACAGATTGGATAGATTTTAAAGATAACATGCTCGCAGTTATAGACAAGCTTTTTCATTTTTTTTAAGGGGAAGAGGCAAGAGGGCACTCAATAACACACAGGCCAGTTTTACTCAGGATGTGGTACCAAGGTAACACATGAAACTGGCATTTGAGCTCTGCTTTTACAATAATTTGACCCTAATTCCTGACTAAAACAGCACATAAAGCATTTAAAACCTTGTGAGAATTCATTAGTCGAAGTTGATCTTCAAATCAAATTCTTCGGATCACTGAAGAAGCCATCAAATAATGCGAAATAGTTGTAATGATCAGCAATTTCCATTGTAAAAGCTCATAAAAATACTTTGCAAAACCCCCCATCACCATTACACTCAATCATACTTCTCTCGCCACGAATAGAGGAGAAAGAAAACCCATGAAAGTGCTAATGCAACATCCCCAACAACCTGCCTAGGCAAATCATGGGCAAGATCCTCGACATTCGTCTCAAAGTATACCCTCCAAACAGCCATCAAAAGGTGTAGGAGCACACATCCCTTGGCAAAAAAGCTCTGAAACTTATTGTCCTTAACAAATGCAACCATAAACAAAAGAAATCCAATCACAAACAGAAGCAACCCAGAAAATGATTCAGATGTTTGAATTAATAGTTCATCATGAGGGGTTGATCCTTGAAGTTTACTACCAATTTCTTTACCATGACCAAATACCGCGATTTCTTTCGTATAAAACATCATCATAGCTCCACAAGCAAGAGCAATTACTG